AGGCTATCACAATCATAGAGTCCATGGCTTCCACTGATTTTAGGAGCCAGCATGGTAGAAGCTCTTCACACAAGAGGGGAGTTTTGGAGCTGAGTACTCAAGATGCAGTGTTAGCTCAAAACAAGATACTTTCCCAATAGATTGAAACATTGAATCAACAAATGGCCAAGCTACCTCAACAACTTCAAGCTATGCAATCTAATGCTCCTCTTATGCAACAAGTGTTATCGTGTGAGAAGAAGAATGAGAGGGCCCAAGAGTATGCAGAAGGAATGCATGAATTGAGTCGGTTGAAGGAAATAAAATGAAGATTGAAAATGACAAAAAAAGTGAGAAAAAGGAAGAAATTGAAAAAGAGAAAGAAGGAGAAAGTAGAGAGAAAAAGAAAGCAACCATGAGAATGGAAGACTCTGCTGTATCCTTTCTTTCAGAGACCCTTGAGGTCTCTTCTTGTCAGGCTCGGGACATTAAACAAGCGCTTCCTGGGAGGCAACCCAGAGATCTGAACTCTAATTTACGTGTTTTTCAGTTCCTCTTTGTTTTTAACTTTGATTGTTAATGTGTGCTATAATTGTATGTTATATTTGGTTATGGGACTTGTTTTGTGACTGTTTATGTTGTTCTGTGATATGTGTGTTGTAGTGTGTTATATGTGTTTCGTGTTATGTGTTAATTGTGTGAAGCATGCTTGGGTAGGTAGATATAGGTTAAATATGTTAGGAGTGTGAGGAGTGGAAAATCTAGGTGAAATCTTCATAGAGTTGATCACGCCGGGCGCGATATAGCCACGCCCAGCGCACCTAGAGCCAATTGGTCTCTGCCAAGACCCACCTTGGTAAAAGGTCGTATGAATCTTCCCAATCACCAAAAGCTCTTGAAATGAATTTTTGTTTTGCTTTCCAGGCCTTTCTACACGAAACCTTATAATTGAATTGTCCACTTATTCTTTATTGAATTAATGAAATTGACACGGAAGCATCTTCCCTGACTATTCCTGAAATGAAATGTTAAGATACTACTAATAGTTATTACGAAAATAACCTCTATTTTTAAATATTTAAAGAGTATGTATAAATAAAGTTTCCTAAACATTAGCATAGTGATCTTGAGACAACATTGCATTAATGAATCTGTACTTCTATGTTTAAATGTGCAAGAGCAAATGAATTCGGAATCCAATTTGTTGTGATCTTAAGACAACATTGCATTAATGCATTGTTAAGTCTCAATTTTACTTCTTTTTGGACAAGACTTAATAAGCAATTCCACTCATTCTTTGAACCACTGCAATATAATTGTTCTCTTTTTGATCCATTTTGTGTGCATATATAGCTAACCCATAATTTAGCTATAAATACCCTAATACACCTCATTTTTTGTGCTGGTATTGAGCTAGAGAATTGAGGATTGAAGACCCATAGGATTGGAAACCTAAGGAGTTAAGGAGTAGAGAAGAGTGACCGCGCCGGGCGCAAGATGACTCGCGCCGGGCTTGAGAAGAACAGAGTTCCTCATCTTTGCAAGCCATATATGCGTCGAGCGCGAGACTACCCGCGTCGGGCTTGATCGAGACAGAGAGTGCCTGAAACTCTCTGGAAGACATTGCGCCGGACGTAAAAGGAAATTGCGTCGGCATGGTATAAACTCTTCCAGTTGTAGGAGGTCTCGGTTTGGGTCCAGAGGTATTTGCATGCGCCTTTGGTTGTCCACACTCAGAAAACACATGACCAGGCTTTCCACACTTGAAACAAACAGGTCCTTTGAGATGATAGTCCTTAGTATAATGACCCTGTCCACACTTAAGACACTTAGCTTGATTATTCATGGGTCTACTGGAATTTCCTGCAAATTGAGAAGATTGGGATTTCCATTGTGGTCGATCATAAGGTTTTCCTTCATTATTCTTTTTCTTATTAAACTGAGGGC